TGATTCGGTTTTCAGTTCAGCTTTTGGTTGTAATTGTATAGTAATACTTAATTAAGTAATACTATATACGAAGATTTCAAGGTGTTTCATGGAGTAAAGATTAAGCGCACTGCCATGCGTGCACATGCTCGTAAGTTCGAACCCCCGCTCTGGATAACCTGATATCGTGCAGTAGTGATATCAATTTTCACTTAAAAATATAGATCAACTAGTTGGTATTGGTATTTTGCCTTGAGGCAAGTTACATGAACTTCCCGATATGCTTAAATAATCGACTTAAACAATAAAATAAAAATTAATTTATGAGTGATTAAAAGTATTTCGAGTGGATTTATTACACATAATTGATCCGAACACTTTAATTCGGAATATTTTCTAAAAGCAAATTTTCAAAAATCAATTTTTATAATTGAACCACTTTCCGTAGGACTTTAATGGTTTAATATGTTCATTAAGACAAAGTACTCTATCGTTATACCAAGGAAATTGTCTAATTTTAATTTAACAAACGTCAAAAAAAACTATTCATTTTTTCAAGCTTTGATGCATTTAAAAATTAAAATACTTGTCGTAAGGTCGTAATATTTGAGTAAGTTCTATAAGACCATGATTACATTGCCAAAAAAGTTCCATAAAAATCGGCTTATTTTTTTCAACAGTTAATTACAAGAAAACGGAACGAATAATTCCCAACTAATATCTATCGAACAGTTTTTGATTTTTTTTTAATCGATTCGGTAGTATGAGCAATTTGAAGAATTTTTAAAATTGAACGACTAGTGTAGGGCCGTCGTGATATTTGAGTATGATCTATAAGACTATGTATCTACCAAAAAAAAATCATAAAAATCGTCGAAAAAAATTTTTTTAACACTTTATTACAAGAAAACGACTCGACCAATCTTTAACAAAAACGATTCGTAACCAATATCTTTCGAACAGTTTTTGAAGCTTCAAAATCGATTCAGAATTACGGGCTAAAACGTGGACAAAAAATTTTACACTTTTCTGCGATTTACAAAGAAACGCCTTGGCTAATCGTCGCGCAAAATTAATAAACGCTAGTCCTCATCGAGATACATCGAATGGCTTTTAAATTCATGAAATCGGTTCTGCAAAAAACTGTTTACATACACACACACATACTTATTCCAAATTTGGTCTCATTCAATTCAGAATGGCTTGAAACGTCGAGAAAACATAAAATTAGTGAATCGATTTTTTTGATGAAAACAAACTTCTCCTTCGAGAAGTTAAAAAAATGCTTCCAATTTAACATTTCGAGCACTGCAGAGTGAACTGACAATGGAAAGGTCATACTATTCTACCCCGAATCAAGTTGAAGTTTAACTCAGCTCACGGACCTTCTCTAACTACCCATTATATATCCATTATATACGAGGATAAAGTTTATATTCAATATTTTGAAAAGATTTTTTCTCTATTTGTATACAGATCTAAACTTGTGGTTTCTATAAGCCATTGTAATGATTTGGCTAAACTACGCCGCTATTCGGAAGACAACTCAACGGTTGGCCTATCTCTATTTGACAATTCAACTCTAAATTGCGATTTTGTAATTTATTATTACAACTTCTGTAATACTTGTAATTTTATTGCTGTTGAAATATAGTTAAGTACTATTTTCACTTGGAAATCTATTGCTAATGATAATTTTAAGTAAAGGCTATCTAAAGCAGGCGTCGAACCTGAAAGTTCATGATTTTTACCACTAGAAAAACCTACTAAATTTAAATTTTGTCGAAAATATTTTATTAATTTAATATAATAACGTCATGTTTCAGTATTCGAATCTTTTGCTAGAATAATATAAAAACCTATTAAAGTCAGTCAAATTATTTTTTTTATAAATCTAAAATCCATAAGGGTATAATTTAAATAAATTATATATTTACTAATATTAATAAGTATTAATGTATATGCTATACTAAAGCGCTTTCAAAAGCTTTTCCAGCATCAATTTCAATTAAAATAAATAGCAAATTAATTAAATTTTCGCATTGCAGGTGGAAAACCATTCACGAGAAAGGGAGTATGAGCTATTTCTCATGCAAATTTATTCGAAGTCGTTTTACATTCAAACTGGAATTGATCATGTTTATCTAAATTTAAGAGAACTCTATTTATGCATATAAAGCTTTTAAAAATAAAATAAAGTCAATGATAAAAATAAAATGAAGTCAATATTTTGAAAACAAGTTAAGCAACTGATAACTAGTATTAATAGAAATAGATAAGGTGCAAATAATTTTAATGGCATTGTAAAGAATTTTCGATAAAATAATAAAAACGAGTTTGTAACGAGTCCTATAAGCTTCCGAGATGTCTTTATAGATGGCAAACCAATGATTAACCTAAATCCGTTTAAAAATAATAATAACTGATGACTTTTTAATACCAAGGAGAGGCTATTTTTACTCTAATACATATTGATATAAAACCGATTTCGCTACTGTTTGACATAGAGCTGTCCGAGGCGGTGTGAATAGAATTAATCTAAAATATAGAATTGCCACATCTATGGGGTCAATAGTTTAATTAAATTTCGAGAATGTATTCAAGTTCGAATGGATTTCAATCTAACTTAATATTATGCAACTCATTGTAGAATGTAGTTGCGTCTATGTGCAATAATGCGCAAAGATATTGAACTTGTGCAAATATGAGAGAACTAATCACGAATAAACCATATGTAAATTCCCTTTATTACCTTACTCTATTTCAACAAGCCCAATGAATTCACATACGTATCATAAATACATGGATCCATAATAGTGAAATATATGAATAAAATACTTGACTGTGGAAATAACATGACCAAAATCTTTCCGCGCCATCGTCTATTACTGGAAAATATGAAGTGATTTGAGTGTTGGCAAATAATTTTCGAAATTTCTAGTATTAGGAAAGTGACGAGACTACCCAGAAAATTTTGGAGCACGTAATATACGTTTTATCAAGTTCATTAAATACATTCAAGAAACATTTCTTAAACATGACGAGATATTAGGATTCAAATAGCTTTGTAAACTCTCTCTCTCTCTCTCTCTCTCTCTCTCTCTCTATATATATATATATATATATATATATATATATATACTATATATATATTTATATATACATATGCAAATCTTATTGCAAATATATTACGCAAGTGGAATTGGCTGCACAAGATTTAATCAAACCAATTATTAGTAGGACAATTAAGAGATTATGTAGCTGATGGTTATATTACAATTTCTGAGATCTTAACTATTAATCAATTACGACGATATATGAATATATCAACCGCTAATGATGGTACATCCTCCAACAAACATTAAGTAGATATTTGCGTCTCAAAATTAATTTAATTTGAACGCGTTTATCCCACTTTACTACAATTTTACGATTGAACAGCATTTTCGCAAGTACGAATTTTCGCAATCTTAAGCACATTTAATTTAGGAAAGGGTTCTATGATCACTATATATAATTGTTTAACATATTTCTAATCAAGATGTAAACACTATTAAACATTTTTTCTAGTAATGAAACTTTTATATAATTATGACAGAAACTACATAAGTTAGTTGAGTTCAACTTTTAGTGAAATATAAGGAATATCACCCCATTTCTAGAATACTTTAGAATATTTAACCGCCTAAGTGGTACCCTGGCTATATTTTATCTGATTTTTATAAATTTTATCAACTATAGTACTGTTAACTAGAACTATTTAGTTGTATAAAAGAACGTTTACAATTGGAAGCATGACTGTGAAACAAAATCAATAGGCTTAATGTTTATTTGGCTAAAGGCGTAAGACTTTTTTGAGAATATGATTCTGATATATTTTCATTACTAATATTTGTCATTGATTAGTTGGCAATCGTTTAAACATAATTAAATAATAGAATTCTTGGTAGTTCCAATTTTAAACTTCGGAGATGTCGAAGCTCAAGTAGTATCTGTGCAAATTCTTTATTCTTGCTGACTTAATATAAAACTTATTATGGATTTTCAATAAATACGAAGAAACAATGATTGAATACAACATTTCAAAGTTTTTTTTTTGAAAATTTGTAACACTAAGAGGTTACAACTAATAAAAGCAGTAACTTCATGAACCGTTCCATCTCTATTCTTACAATTAGTACATTAGTTAATGTTTGAGATTTTTTCAAATTTTAGATAATACTCAAATATTTACCAATTACTAAAGGTTTAATTTGTTTTTTTATTTTTTTTTTGATAATTTTTTTAGTAGTATATGACTAAGGATATAGTTGGTACGACTTAAACGACAATGCGTCTTCATCGTCCAGTACATTTTTGAAAAATACCTATTTTGATATTGAGTAAATGTAAAAAAATATATTTTAATTGCACTAAATATCAAACAACCATTCCTTTAGGGTGTACGAATTAAGCAACCTTACTCTAATTATATAAAAGCTGCATTTCCAGATATTTATACTTTTATTGAAGTAAATAATATTTAAATTTGTACGCTCACAAAGTGTAGAACAAAGTTGTAATTTGTTCGTATAAGCAAGTCGAATATATAATAAGAGACCCGAAATCAATAAATTGTACATCTTAATCTGAATTATATTTTACATACTTTTATCAAACTTTACTAAGCTTATCCAAGCTAAAACAAAATAGTTAAATAGTTGCTACAAAAGCTTTGCATGAAAAAATATTTTCTCTAAGTGAACCGACATAATGATATTTACTACATATGATATATATATATATATATATATATATATATATATATATATATATATATATCTATATCAGATTTGCAATTGTAGTAAATTTTTTCCAAGTTTATCCTAGCCGTTAAAATAGTTAAATAATCAGCTCAAAAGTTTACCAAAGCGATCGCTTGTAGTGTAGTATTAAATTTTGTCCAAGTGAACCGTAATAATCGCATCTCAGGCACGATACACAATCTCTTATAAAACAAGATAAGCCCAAAGAGCACTTACTACACATTCCGGTTCCGAGATGTAGGATCCGTTGCCGAGGTAGCGATTAGGACACTCAGCCCACGGAAGTTGAGCTTGAAAGCTCTGGGCGAAGTAGAACAGGCACCAGGCGATGATTGTGTTGTAGTACAGGGCGACGTTGAACGAAACCACGGCGCTGCTAATTCCTATGAGATATTCAACAATAATACACACGCCAGTTGATTCGGATACTAGGTTATTATAATACGACCTTATGTCTTCTATTTAATCGTAAAAGATATAAGGATTTAAAAATAATTGAGATAATGTTATAAAAACTAACGGGTTCTTGTAATCTTATCAAATATATAGTTCTCATTAGGAAAAAGACAAGTGGTGCATGGCATTGTGTCTTAAGGCAAATTGCTGAAACTTCACGAACAGTAACTAAATATTCAAAAAAAAAAAAAAATCAATCATCTATAAAAAATTATCAAAGAGTTTTAAATATTTTGGAATAATTATTATTGATCATTTTATCGGCGTATTTTATAAACATTAGGCTTACGACCTTTGTTTATCTACAAGAACAAAAATAAAACTAGTGGTGAGTATGGCACCAGGCCTTAAGGCAAGTTGCTGGAACTTTGAAAAATTTTATCCATACATACACACACACACATCCATTTTTTCTGAGGTATGCCAAATTGTTCAGAAACCTTCAAAACGTGAAAAAATGTGAATATTTTCAATTTCGATTTATGGACGATTACAATAAATTACCCTACGGGAAGTTAATAAAAACTAGTTGTTTTTGCCCTTTTTGCTTCGTATGTCCGGAACGGCCGGATCTGCCTTCGCCACAAACTATCCAGCACATCTCCCCGTCAATACGAATCGAACATTTTTTTATACATCCAAATCGATCTTCGTTCTCCCAATATCGTCGGAAAAAAATTGTATACGCACACACACACACATACAAACATCAATTTTGGAAGGAAAAACCTCAGGAATGCCAAAATGTTCATATACCTCTGAAACGTAAAGGTATGCAAAAAATTATTCATTTTCGATTTTTTTGCGGTTACTACAATTTGTCATTCGGAAAGTTATAAACGGTGGTAAATTACACCAAAATGAAATCACATAGTAATATAATATTTTATGTAAATGACAAAACAATTTGATAAAAAAAACTGAAATACAAAAAAACTGCGAAGGTAGATAACAGTATGATTTGAACACTTTATATGGGCTTATCCTTTACAAATCGCACAGAAGTTGGGTAAAATAAAATGTCACATTTTTGAATTGTCTGAATTTTTTTTTACAGATATAGATAAAATTATTTGACACGTATTTCAGGATTTAGCTGAAAAAAAAAACTTACGTAATGTTTACGATTGAAATATAGATTTTTTACTCAATTTGTATGAACATCCTGTACGGTAAATTAATTATCTCCAGTTGTGCTGATCGGATCAGTATTATAATTTTTCACATTGAAGTGAACTTTGTAATTATTTAAAAAATTTTGTTAGTTAGTTAGTTTTTGCAATTTTCTTAACAATAGCAACCCTTAAATATTTACAAAGGCTCCAACTCTTCCCCCATCTTAAATCGATTGATAAAAAAACATATTTTTTATAGATGTTTAATACCTGTAAAAAAAATTCAGACAAATCTAAAATGTCAAGGTTCGGTTAGTGTGCGGTTTGTAAAAGAAAGACCCATATATAGAAAACTTAAGGATTAATCATACTTGAAGGGATAAAAGAGTTATTATGAATGAGTCTACAGTTTTACATAATATCATACATTATTTTATAGCCCATTAAATAGAATATAATTATTAAAACTTTCAATTACTTTTGGTAAATATCAGAAAAATAAATAATAGCATACTTGTTAAAAATAGAGGTAAATTATCTTATTACTCTATTATCTCAAATAAATAATTCAAATATTAATTAATTTATTTTGTACAACATTTTCTGAATTCTAAATTGATTATTCATAGTCTGAAACATTCTTGAATTGCATAATAAACACGTATTGGATAAACCTACATAAAATGATAAATCCATTACACTATATTTTTATAGAGATAATATAGAAATAAAGCATTGTGATCCGATCTCTGGGAAAAATGTTAAAAAAGGATATATCATATATCTTTAGAAAAGTAATATCATGATCAATTCTAAGATCTATTGAAATATATACAGAATAAAAATATAAACAAACAATTTTTTAGGTAAAATTATTTTACTAATTAATAAATAAAATTGAAAATAACAACGCAAAAATGTTTTATAATTTGTGAGGATAACTGGTAATAACTACTCATATTAGAAGATTTTTTTACAATGTATCCCCAAAAGGTACTACTTTAGCGTAAAAAAAATTTCATAATATTACATATAATTCTATAATAAAATATTTTGAACTAGTTCTATATAACTTTATTGATTACATTTATAAATACTTTCAAAATAAAAGATGATGATGCACATACAAAAACTAATACGATTGCAATTTAAAACATATATAAAAACTAATACGATTGCAATTTTAGTATCTCATAAAGATTTCTTCTCCCGATAAACGCGAGCAAAAACATCCCGTAAACTAACGCTTGAGAATTAAAAGAGAAGATTTAATCTTAATTATATTATATAACTTTTTCAACTTACAATTAGACTTTATTATCAAACAAATAAATCACTTGCAAATAAATTCAAGAAATACGAAAACTGATGTCATTAATTTTTGCGTTTAGATAAAATTAAATTTTTATCAATAAAACTTATTATATTATGATCAACAATAAATGTTATATCAAATTCTTACCAATTCCTCCCAGGTAGGGTGACACCTGATGCCATACACCGATTGCACCTTTTCTGAGCCTTTGTCCGATGGCCAATTCCAGATAAAATATCGGTATGCCTTCAATGGCCAACATCACAAAATAAGGTATGAGAAATGCACCTCCGCCGTTTTTTTGTGCCAAGTAAGGAAATCTCCAGACATTGCCCAAACCAACCTGTAAACAATCAATAACAAACACTGTTACTGTCAAGTCAGTCTATTTTATGTGAGAAAATTATATAGATACATAACCATTTTTAATAATTTTTATTAAAAAATTAAAAATTAAATTTTTTATTAAAAAATCTTTTTTTTATTACTTTATTTTGATGTTTCATTAAGTCATAATTACTGTTTGCATTATTTTAATTGGTAGTTTTTGATTTCCCGTAGGGTAAGTTATAGTAATGGGCCAAAAATCTAAAATGAAACTTTTTGCATATCTTCACGTTTCAGAGGTTTCTGAACATATTGGCATACCTCAGAAATAAAGAATGTGTGTGTGTATGTGTGGAGACAATTTTTTGTCGACGATTTCGGGCGTATGGATGAACCGATTTGAAAAATTCAAAAAGCAATCGATTCCTATTGATAGCGAAATGTGCTGATTAGTTTTTGGCAAAGGCAGGTCCAGGAGATACGGAGCAAAAAGTGAAGAAAATAGAAACCGAGTTTTTAAGAACGGAGTATCCGATTTGAATGATCTAAAAAACATTCTGTTTGTGTTGGCAAAACATATGTTTCGGGGGAAAAAATTCACTATTTCAATTTTTTTTGTATATCGAAAATAATTCAGATTTTAATTTTAATTCAGGCTAAAGTTCTGAAGCTCACTTATATACTTTAAATAAATAATTTTAACTTTGTAATTGTAATAAGTTCCAGTATTTATAATAAACTATTTGAAAACATTTAATATTCATCGATCATTTCGTTACGGTAGGGGAAGTTCCAGCAATTTACCTTAAGACACGAAGCCATACACCACTTGTTTTATCTACAAAATCTTTGTTTTATTATTAATGCTTCAACTTAATAAAACTGCAATTGCAATATAGTATAAAATTAAATCAAAATTGCAATATAAAATAATTAAAGCATAAATTAATACCCAGCTATTTAATGAGATACTATTATATTTAATTTTGTTTCTCTATTATAATTAAATAGTAATTGAAATATTCATATAAATTCATAGCATAGCTTTTGTTTTTAACAGATCTCTACAAATGTATATCAAATTTCCAACTATTGTATTTAAATCCTCTCTGTTTTAGTTAGTTATAAGGGATGACTGTATATTATTAAATAGATGTTAATAAAACATATTAAAAAAAGTCCTCACTGTAATTTTACATAATTCTTGTCTATGTCGAATCCTTATATTATGATTCAATTTCAGTGTTTACCATTTTAAAAAACCCTATTTCAATTACCAAAATCATCTACATTCGTGGAACATGAAACAAATATTAGCAAATACACAAATTTTTATTATCATAAGAAATGCATTGTTTTAATAATAAAAACAACATTATTATAGCTCATAAATATAATTAGTAGCATTAAAGTACTCTGTGATAAATATGATATGATCATTCGAAATTATGCTGAAGTATATTTTTATGGCAATATTATTCACTGCTGGAGTTTAATAAGTAGTTCTTTGATGGAGATGATAGCTCAATTGAAATTTTTGTATTAAAATTGTTTAATTAGCATCATATATCATTTGAATATAATAGTTATTATCATATAAAAAGCATATTGCCCTGTCAATAATGTTAAATACAAGAAACTTTATAAATCCCTAATTTGAAAGCTCTATTATATGAATATAATATATTAAATATTATCGTATTTTTTTAAATCCCTGATTTGAAAGCTTCATTATATGAATATGATATATTTTAGTAACTTTTTAAATCCTTAATTTGAAAGCTCCATTATATAAATATAATATACAGTAGAACTCCAATTATCCGAACTCAAATTATCCGAACTCCGACTATTCGAATCGCCGATTATCCGAATCACTTTCAGAAAAAAAAATGTCCAAAAAAAGTCTAAGTGCGCTATTATTCTTCCATCAGCAAAGCCAGTGTAGGCACATTGTTTGTTTTGATTTGACGGAGACGTTTACAAAACAATGATTTTTATTTCTAAACTTGTACATAAGTACATTTTATTTATATTTAAAACATGTGAAAATGTCATGTTTCTTTCATTTAATTCAATAAAAAATAGTGCAATAACGAAACGTAACTTTTTTTCTCTCCAATGGCAATTTTAAAAACAAACTCCGATTATCCGAATATTTGATTATCCGAATGGGTCCCGGTCCCCATTAATTCGGATAATTGGAGTTCTACTGTATTTTCGTAGCCTTGATAGAATCTGTGAAAAAAATATTTACTCAAAATATTAAAACAAATTTGTAAAAAAAAAACAAAACTCTGTAGAAAGTTCTTGGCATGTTAAAGCACTAAAAAAATGGGATTTAAAATATAGCGAAACCAAGTACTTTGAAATATCTTAAATATATTCAATGTGCTCATACATATTTATTTATAGATATATTAAAATATATTAATTTTATATAATGGAGATATTAATGGTACATAACTTAAATCAATACATAATAATATAGACTATATTAAATGTTTACTCATAACCTTATTCTAAGTTTCGCCTTTTATATGAAAGAAAAAATAAAAAAAAAATTAATTTAATTTAAAAATATCTATAAATCAACTCACCGCATATCCAATTGTTGCCAAAAGAAACGTCAACTTCGAATCCCAGCTTTCTCGTTCATCATCTCCACCTTCAGGCCTAAAAGTTCCTTTTTCAGGTCCGTCTTCTACAATGACTGGTTTTAGGCTCTCTGGAGGCGCCTCTCTTTTCTGGTCAGTTTTAGGCTTCTGATTAGGACTCGTGTCTTCGTATCCCAAATTCGTAGCCCCGTAATTTACATTCACTGATTTAACACTTTCTATGGACATAAGGCGCCCTCGAAGTTCCTTCATCTCTAATCTATCAACTGATCTCTGAGGGTTTAAGTCCCTTGAACTTTGACGGCGTATAAGATGGGCTGTGTTTGCCATTTTTGGATAACTTTATTGTTTAGGGGTAATAGAATTTAGATAATATTCCAATTATAAAATCATAGATAACCAAAATTCCGTTGTGTTAAATTGAAAATATCACCAAAGTATTTTTTAAATGTGAAAACATTTTAATGATTAACTTTAAACTAATTTCTGAAGTGACAGCGCTGCAATGCCAATTAGAATGCAATAAAATTACATATTATAACTAGTTAAATTGGGAAAGTTAACTCGTGATAATTATATTAAACTTTATGATAACTGAATCTTAAATTCTTCAACGGGAAAAGGGAGTATAAAGGATTTGTCAACTCGTGTTTCTTATAAAAAACATCAGTCGCTCCTCTTTTTTATCAGAATTTTTATATAATGTGATTATTGATCAGGTTCAATTCTATAGTACAAAAGTTTTAAAGTGATCTAATAAACGATAAATTAAGTTCTTGAGGAAATTTAATATTTAATGTGATGTTTGATGGTAAAATTTAAATTATTGTTTTTAAACTGAATAATTTGTGCGTAGTTTTCAAGCATGGCGTGATTATGCAAATGTGATTTTGTGCCTGAAAATAAAACAAACAAAATTTATACTTATTACATATTAAATATTTAATAATTACAAACATACTATTTATGCTCGGAAAACATTATTTCAATCATTAAATGCAAATTATATAAAAAACGGTTATTTCGTTTGAGAGCAAAAATATATCAAAAACAAAAAACAGCAGTATTGATTTTTTGACTAAATCCAATTTTTCAAGAATATAAAATTTATTAACCAGTTAACTGTGACGCTCACATCGAATAGTGAGCACATTTTTGTGTCGTCAAAATCGAGCTCATGACGAGTATATTCGTCCATCACAGAGTAAGTTTCAGAATGACAGATATGTGTTTATTTTACAAAATTAGAAAAAATATTACTGCATTTTATTGATTGTTAATATTAGCATATATTAAATATGTATTAAAGTAAAAACGGATAAATTCAATGAAATATAAATATAAATATAAAAATATGATTAATTTCAATAGCAAAATCTCAATTCTTGTTAATTAAGTATATTATTTAGACCTTTCGAGAAGTTCATGCAACTTGCCTTAAGGAAAATGTCACTTACGACATCCTATTTTATACAATCACAGCCTCAAAATAATCTGAACATCTTGGCATTTTGAACTATTTTTTGTTTTTTTTTTAGAAATTGCAATTTAAACAGCGAAGGGTCACTGTTTTATACGCATGACGAGTATACTCGTCAATACAGAAAATTCTGACACTTCTCCGTAACGAGTATGTTCGTCAATCACACTTAACTGGTTAATTCGTGAATTGATTTTCGCAAATTTTGATATTATATAGTATATGTTATTTTAGTCAAAAATATGATTTCTATAATTAAAACCTTTTTCCCATTTAGTTTTGTTAATAAACATTATTTATAGAGTTTTATATAAATCGAATTTGTATATGACTACAATGTTGTATATATCACCAATTTTCGCTGACAATTATTGACAAAGATATATAACCACATGATTGTCATGCTTAAATAATGGAAAATCAAAATATTGAGATAAAATTTACTTATTAAACATTCAAAATCAACAAGTAAATAAAATAATTGTCCATAAATTTATTTTACGGTAATTTTGTCGTTCACAAAGCTTTTCCATGCGCTATAAACCGCTATAAACCACACATCATTAAAGCAACCCCACAGAAATCACAGTGTTACATAATAATAATATTTTAAACCGCTTATAGAATCTTTTTGACTCAACCGTATACGTTAAAAGTACACTCATTGCTTCATAATATTTATAGGATTTTTTTTAAATTTAATTCAATTATTTTAAATGAACACTTACTAAAAAACGAAGCGCCAAAAGCGTAGCACTACCGTAGCGAGCCTTTTCAACTTGGACTGATTGCTACTACATCCGTAGCAATCGACTCCACCTACGCGATACAGAGAAACTGTACAGGGCCGAATTAGGAGACACGGAAAATATCTTGAATTGTTATTCATACCTATTTTTAGTGACATCGTTTATGGAATATTCTGTGAAAATATGTATACATTATTAAAATACCAGCGACTCTGTTACAGCTATTCATTTTTGTCTTTTTCAATAACCAGTAATGTGGTCATGTTTAAAAATATCAAATCAAAATAGAGAGATTAAATTCACTGATTAATTTGTTAAAGTCAACATGTTAAAAAAAATAATTGTCTAGTTTTTTTATTTATGCATTTTTCAATAAAATAGATTAAGACATGCTGCTTTAAAATTAATTTATGAAATTAATGGAATTTTTTTACAGGAAAGGAATTTACATTTGTTTTAATATCAACTTACATATTTATATTTACTTACATATACATATTTTTAAGGTGTTTTAAACTGTAAATTTTCCATCAAAATATTCATCAATCAAACAAAAATCAATATTTTTAAAATCCTTCAAGGAAATCTTTAGCTAAAAGCATATACAATAAAGGTTTTGTTTTGGCTGCTATTGTCATTTTTGAATAATTTTCTAATTTTCTACTTAAAATAAATGCAAAACAAATTAATCCAATATTATTTTTTATGACCTTTTCTTCTACAAAAAAAAGCAAAAAAAGCTTTTTAAGTTAGCAAATTTGCTCTTAACAAATATACAAACTGATTCGAGTCAGAAATAATAAAATAAATTGTAAATCGAGTTTTATGCTTTAATAATATATAAATGCATATTATACAAATTCGATTTAATAACATACTTTTATGGCAAGTGAATAAATATTAATAAGAAGGATATTTATAATAAACAGATATTTTGTAACGTTAAGTTCTGAATATTTAAAAGTAAAAGTAATTCAGATATTTAAAATCTTAGAAAAATGAAAATTCTGCAGCACCTTGAACTTCAACAATTTACCTACTTTATCACGTCCAATAAATATCGACTCCACATCAGATATTTTCATAAAATAAAAATAAAATGCATTTTTATATTTAAACAATTTAGATCAGATGCCTTGAGATATAAATTAGATCAGATGCCTTGAGATATAAATTAAACCAACATATAATATAAACAAATTTTTTGAAGTCCTTTGAGTTAATAAAATTACAATATTTTTTTAAAAAAATTAAGCTCCTACATTTACTTAAAAAAATCTAAATCAAAATTCAGTAAAAAGCGTCCACAAAAAGACGATAATTGACCAGTTATCGATCGAAAGTTAAAAATAATCAATAAATAATAAATAATGAAATCGCAAAGTGTGGTAGAAGGTGAAAACTGGGGTTATATGCGTGTATTTTTTGAAACTTGCATTAAAAAAAAAAAGAAAAGTGATCCAATACATTAAAGAATAAGTGTCAGAGTAAGACAATCATTGATGAAATTTTTTTTATATAAAATTGAGCTTTTTCATAAGCTCAAAAGATCTTCAGCCAAACCGATAAAATTCTTATAATTATGTGATTACTGTAAAAATTCTTAGAAATAAAAATTTGTGGTTATATGCGTTTTTATATACGGATTATAGATATTGACCCAAAAAATTAAAAAAAAATTCTTAGGGGTGGCCAATCCCTACCGCTTGGTTTCAACCAAAAGATGCAAAAACCTGTTCAGGGATATTCATAACAGATTATCAAATTTTCACGGCGATTGAATGTATAGTTTTTGAATCCATAGAACATACACAGGGGGCAGACATACATCAATTTGTATATATATAATAAATGTATTTTTCTATTAAAACAGTATCAATTATCGAATACTTGGATTTATATATGAGTCAATGTATGAACAAGGGTTCTTTTGGGTATATTTGAGTTCAAGAATCATGACAAAGAGATTTGTTCTCAGCTCTGTGGGACAAATATAGTGTTTTGACTGGATCGAAATTGTCGCTTGACGTCATTTGAGCGCCTTCTATTGCGAGAGGCGTCACGCCGTCTGCTGCGTCCTAACAAAATGTGAACGTACTTCGAAAGTAAAAGTAAAACTACACTTGAGATAAAAAAAATCAACGAAAATGGTCACTTTGTTAATTAACTTTGTTTTAACTTGGTCAATTAAAATGTATTTCATTGTATTTTCATTGCAAAAAATGCCAATATATTTGCAAATGAGTTCAGGGGATATTCTAGTATAGAGGCATGAAATTAAGCTCATTTTCAAATCATTGTAAAAAAAACAATCCATTTTTTTACAATTTATGTATCAACTTTACAGAACTACAAAACAAAAGTAAAAACAAAAAAGAGTTAATAATTTTAAAAATTAGCATTTGTTGAAGTGAGGGGTCTCAAAAAATGGACACGAGGCCAAGCTCACCAAAGCAGCCCTGCTAGTAACCCAAAATAAAAAAAGAAAAAAGGATATTAAAATAGAATTATGTCGCATTGGCATATATTAGGATTAAGTTAAAAAATGTTTTTCGACAAATCGGCGACTCTTTGAAAAAAAGAATAATTTTTCTTACAACTTTTTGACTTCCACATTTTTTTTTTTTGAAATTAATAAAAATTGAAATTTGGGGATGAGGTTAGTATAAGCCAAAGAAGTCTATAGAAAAGATTCTCTGAAAATATCAAGTGAATCAGTTCAATAGAACTCGAAAAATCGTGGACATCGTATTGAAAAAAAAGTTTTGAGTAAAATGCGCTTAAAGTTTTGCAAAAGGAAGATTACCAAAAATCCTCTTGTACACATATCGTACAATTTTTGCGATGATTTATGCATTTGAAAATACGAAACAAAAGAAAACATTTTTTTTGATTTTCTACACTAGAATGCACCTTTTAATGTTAAAATAAAGCTATAAGGCATGTACTATAGTCATTATGCTCAAATATGTATATATGTGTGTATTTATTAAATTATTTTTTCTATATACACGTACCGCTGCAAAATTAAATTCATAATACTAAAACATTGAATATAGTACGAAGAACGAGAAACGAAGCTCATTTTCTGTAAATATACTATTTTCCTTTAAAATAACCTGAAGCCAATAATCGTGATTTGCTATAAAATGTTTTCATCACTTTCTATACTAATAATATTATACATATAAAATACTAGCACATGGTATATAAAATCGATATTTCGAGTAACCGCGCGCTTGCGCACGCTAATTTAAATTTGTTTTATGTCGTTATATCGGAAAATATGAAACAATAAAAATACCACGAACAAACATTTATCAGAGAAAGGTTTCTTTTATAAATGTCGAATCGATTTTTATTATAATTTTATAAGTAGATACTTTGAACAACGATAAAAATATCCCATAAACGGAAATATGGGAACAGCAGAATATAAACACTGATATCAGAAACAAAATAGTATAATCTATAATATGATAAATTTTATGTAGAAAACTGATAAATTCTAAGAAGATTTATTGTTAATTTATTAATTTATTTAATTGATAAGGTTATCAGGAAGTTTAAATATATAAGAAAATTTTATAGGAATGTTTCTAAATTGCATATATATAATTTACACTCGGACACCAACATTGATCTGGTAATAAGTACACTAAGAAATAATTCTTACCCTACAAACATAATTAACTAAGTAACAAATAACAGACGCAATTACCTTTTCAACAAACAATACGACCTCACCGACCATAAAAACGGTTTGGACCTCGAATCACATACTGGTGTTATTTGTTTACCGTATGTAAAAGATTTGTATATTTCGTGGAGAAAGCTGTTTCAACAATGTGGCCTTTTGTTGGTCTGTAACTGCGATGAAACCCTTAGTTCTATATTTACACAAATTAAATCTAAGTTAAATTCTGACCGCCTCAGGAACTCAGTATATCAGATTAATTGCTCTAATTGCGAACTTTTTTATATCGGGGAAACTAGCCAAAACCTGAGTATACATAAAAATAACTCAAAAAATGCCAAACAATTAAAGACCCAAAATTTCTGCATTTTGAAAAGAACGTAATTAAAAGAAGATTCACTGAGGGATTAGTTTTGCAATTGCATATATATATATATATATATATATATATATATATATATATGTATATATATGTGAGTGTGTGTGTGTGTCTGTCTATGTGTCTGCGTGTGTATTTGCAAGTATATACTAATTCCCATAATTAAATAATGCAATTTTCTTTGAGTAACATGTTTTCACAAAGCACAGATAAATGATATTACGCTTTGGAACTTAATTGAATCTTAAAATTCGTCAATGTCGTTGATATATCGATAAAGTTTAAAATATCGTCGTCAGAAAAGCACGAACGAATCAAATTGAAGTGTTTTATAAAAGTTAAAATAATTAGTTATTTTTATTAAACTCTAATCATGCATAATATTTAGAATTATTATGCATGATTGGTGTTGGTGTTTAATGTTGATTCGCGAAAATCCGTATAGAATTTTATTGCCCAAGAATTATACGAAACAAAAATAGTATTTCAACAAAAAGTATGTGGAACTAAAACATACAAAGAATAATTTTTGATTACAAGTTAAAACACAGAACAAAATGTTTATTTTTTCAATTCTTAAGATCTCAAGCTCATTAAAGTGAAAGCATATAAGCACTTAAGTATGAAATTTTTTTAATGTAAAAGACCTTAATTGAAAGTGTATAAGATAAACAAGAAATGGTGCAAAGATCCTCCGTGCCATCGATTGCAACAATCATCTTAGTATTGTAAAGGATAAAAAAAACAATTTGAAGAAATTATCATTTCAGTATTTATGGTCTGCGTCCGGATGCTAATTGCTTGGACAATTCAGTTATCATAAAAATTACTTGTTCCCAAAGAGATAGTTTTTAATATGAACGAATATAAATATAAACATATTATTTAAAAAAAGTTCTAAAATACATATGTATAGATAAATTCAATAAAAGAGCTATTAAGTACATTTAGATTAAGTATATTATATAAGTATATTTTATATTAATTAATTATAATATTTTTACCCATACAATTTCTATTTTAATTGTAGAGCATTTAATAATTATTTCATTCAGTTATATTCATATGTACAGCACATTTAGAACAGAAATTTTGATATAGTGTTTCAAAACACTACAAAGTTTATTAATACAATTTATATATTTGATATATAACATTGTCGATAATGATTGACACAAAAAGTATTACCGATAAACTTATTTTTCATTATTTTTTTTAACATATATCTTTTATAACAAGCAAATAGTGTATGTTCCAATATATCATCTAATCAAACAAATTAGTATTAATAAGTTTATCACAGTCTAAATATTTCTCTTTAAATAAAGTAAAATTAATTATATATAATTCATTAAGATTATGTGGTACTCACATCAACCTGCTCACAAAACTGAGTTATCGCTATGAAATCATCAATATCGTTGTCATTCAAATTTCTTTTTAATATTTCTAATATATTTTCTATTTCAGCTTCTTTAGTTAAATTTGCAATTTGTAAACTAATTTGTATTTCACCTATGTACGCTTCATAATATGTCCAAGAATCATTTGCAAGTTCCAATAATTCTGATAGTGAAGGTTGCAAAGAATTCCCATTTGTAAGGATGCTATTTTCTGGAAAATCATAATCTTTCACTGATTGCTCAAACTCATTGAATTTATTTCTTAGTTCCGCTGTTGATTTTTCTAATGTTGACCTAAAAATCATACAATAATACAATAATTAAGTATAAATATAATATAAATATAAATATAAATATGATATAAATAAATCAGAATATATAATTATATATTTATTATTATATTATAATATAATACATATATTTTAAACCAAATAGAAATAAGAAAAATATAAATTAATGCTTAAAGTTAATAAAAGTGAAATTGAAGAGGTAGACAATATAAAATATCTAAGACTCATAATTAATCAAAAATTAACTTGGACAGACCACATAAATAGAATGAAAAGATAGTCGCACTAACAGGAGCACTGAAAAGAATACACTACTTTAGAACAAAATAATATCATGTATGGAATTGCACCATAAACCCACAAAAAATATAGAAAACATTCAGAGAATAATAAATAAAGTGACAAAAATAACCTATAATCTCCACTATTCCATACCTGCTAAAAAAGTTCAATATGTAACAGATAACCTACCAATAAATGAAATTATTAGAATAGAAAAGTGCAAAATAATACATAAGATTAAACATAACAAAATTGTGACATGCACATAGATAATTATAAATAAGGAAATATGCAAGCACAATGCAAGACAACAGGAAAATTTTCATCTAAAACAAACAAGAACAAATAAAACCAGGCGGAACAGTATATGGCGTGATATGAAATTATTGAATGGGCTTCCGAAAGAGATAAAGATGACCAAAAAAGAGAATAAATTTAAAATTAAGTTTAAATAATATTATAAAGAAACTCTAGATAAATAAATTAGACCAATGTATTAATGTAAAAATAAATAAACTTATATTGAATTATAGAATAAATGATATAAATGTTGTAATGACCATATTATATATATATATATATATATATATATATATATAATAATGACATACATAAAATAAATATATACTATTGTATAGATATTTTGTATGATCTCTCATACTGGACACTTCCACCTGTCTAAGATAAAAATTAAATTAAATTAAAAAATTAAATAAGAAATAATCAGAACTTTTATATGAGCAACCCCATGCTTGAATTATGTTGCAACAATTCCAGAGAAAACAGTTAAATTAAATTAAGTGATTAAAGTTACCATTTAAGTGAATATCAAGACCTTTTTAAAAACAATCTTCAGTATAAAATAAAAATTGCATACATTGCACAATCCCACAAATAATAAACTAATTGAATGAAATCTATGAGCAAAATAAGACAGTATTCAAAATGTAACAAATTAATTGTGGCAATTAAAACTTCTTACAATTAAAAGTCGATATATCACCATATACTTGTAATAGTTAATATTGTATTTTAAGTGGAATTAATGTAAGATTGTACTACCATTTAGCATCTACTACTAATATAACTACTAATATGTCAAAAAACTTACGTTAACTTCTGAACAGAACACACTAAATCATTTATTTCCAATAACAGAGAATATATCAATCGCTTTCTTAAATGATTTTCATCTTCATTTACACTCTGTACAGCCCTAAAAATTGAATCAAATTTACACACTATATTTGTAATTTATATTCACAAAATATTATTACTTTTTCATTAAAGCTAAATGACGACATTTTGCAAGTGTACGATTTAGAGTTGAAGTGCAACTTTCATTAACACTTTTGCTAAGTTGGTTATGCTTAGCTAAATACTTAAAATAAGCAACCACACATTTTTGTACATTTTGCTCCATAATAATTTCAATATTTAGGAAACGGTTTAAATTATCTGCTTCAATTATTTTAGTAGGTTGCTTTTCGTTTGCACAAACTTAACCTCCAAATAACATTTTGACAACTGTTGAATTTGAAACGTGTGAAGACATACGCAAATATCGGCGCACAGTGATGCAAACATAAAAGAAAAAAACGGAAAATTTCAAATTGGGATAATTAAATCTTACAAACACATTGTTAGGAATCAAGTACACGAATTTGTAGATAAATAAACATTTTTAACAAAAGTTATTTATTCATTGTAAGTTTCTATCCGAAAAAATAACATTTTTCTTGTTTTCCATGTTATGAAATATGTTTTTTGACGATGAGATTGATTATTTCGTTGAGGAACCATATAACCAGAGAAAAACCAGATTCTGGACCATATAAACCTATATTTAATTCGGCTGAATGTTACACCTTTTTAACTTCCAATGAAGTAATTTATTGTAATCGTCCAAAAATCCAAATTAAAAATGTTTTGAATATCAAAAATAATTCGGATTTTAATATTAATTCTAGCTAAAATACTTGAAATAAATAATTTTAACTTTGGAATTCAATTTAGACTTAGAAATATTAGAAATTTGAGATAAGATTCTTCACCAGCCGTGAAGTGTATCCTCAGTCGACAGTACTCACTTAGGATACAGTCGACAGTACTCACTTAAAATAAATGTTTTGATGTAGTATAATATGAAATACAGTTTATTATTATAATTTATTAAACATTTTTGTACATAAAGTCTGTCCTTTATTTACAAATCATAATCTTTATTAAATATATATAAATATTCATTTTGTATATTGTATTTCAAGAACTCACAAAATAAACATTTGCTGATGCCCAGGCTAAGTTTTAACAATATTTTATCACAATGTGGTTTGATTGCACAACTTTTTACAAAACTAAGAAGACATTTCAAATTTTGTCTTTTGGTTTTAGTAAACGGTATGACTTTGATATGACTATGTCAAGAATAGAGAAGACCAGTTTGTCTTCTCAAATTTCTGCAGAACAATAGTATATGCAATCATACAATAATAATTAAACATTATAATCTAAATAATAGTAACTAAATTTAGAAAATTTAAAGTTGAGCAGAAACGTTTTGATTATATATTAGAAATTAAAAAATAAACATCAAATGAAAAATAAAAATCTTACAATTATAATACATTGATCACTTAACAATTAATGGAAATAAAATTAACTATGCTACCGTTTTGAATTCTTTGAAACATTTGCCACACATGTGACTTACATATAAGCAATGCCATATACTCCAAATATTTTCTTCAACATGGTAATACACAATATAATTTCAACTCAACATATCTTAAAACTCTATAATTTATATTAATGGATTCTTAGCATCATTGCTAAAAAATATTTATTAATTTTTGGCATAAAGACATGAATTCACACATTTTATAGTTAATTACATATATGCTATTTAAAAATAGCAACCATAAAAAATTGGAAAACCTTTCCAGGAAGGTTTTATTGCCAATTTATATAAAAGGTATAAGTAAATAAATCACATTATTGTTAATCTAAGTATTATTATAAAAAAGCCAGTGGAATGTGAAGCGACTTTTTATGACTACAAAAATATATCTTTATTTTGTTTTTTTTTTCTTTTATTTTTCTCTTAATTCTCTTAACTTTTATGACATATATTGATCTTCACATCTGCGTATATATAAATTTAGAAAATAACTTCAATAACATCGAATAACTGAGCACAAGATGCAAAAGACAGCACAAATAAAAAAATAAATCCACAATTTATAACAAAAAAATATTTCATAAATTTTTATAAATAATAATTATAAATCTAAATTGGCTTAATAGCTCTTTCATTATGTGCAAGCAGGAGACCTCCAACCAAGCTTATCACTGCTCTATCTATCCAGGTAACGGGATTGGGGTATATGAGACCCCCTTCAAAGAATCCTAGATGACCTCCATGAGAAAGTTCTACGTAGATCATTCTTCTAGAAGAACCTAAATAATAAAAATGAAATATAAAATATGAATTACAATTAGGTACATCTTATAGTAGCAAATGATGGATTTTAGTAAGCAAAATTAATAACTCACCAGCAATTTTTCTTATAGGGTCTAGAAGCGTATCATGGAGTAGAGGATCATCTTTAGCATTTATGAACACCATTGGAGTTTCAATGTCCTGGATGTAGTTTATGCAGGAACTCCATTTGTACAAAGCGTTTACAGATGGAAACTTGTGAACTTTTCTATAAATAAAATACTAACATTGGTATTGCATTCATCAAACAAAATTAATTAAAACTAGATGTAAGAAGCATTTTGCATTAAGAAAAGTTGCATAAACGCCCTAGTATATGTAAAATTTACACATACCACGGAGTTTATGTATTTTTATTTAAACTGTAAATAATATTTTATATAAATGCGCCCTCTAATATAATTTATATGAATATAAAGATGAGTTTAACATAAATATATATTTAGATGTAAATATAAATATAACTAGTTGAAAGTGGCATTTAGCCTTAAGGCAAGTTGAATGAACTTCCCGAAATGTGTAAGAATTGACTTAATCAATCAACTTAATCATACTAAAATTGTAATATTTTAGTATGATCTATAAGACTATGGTATCTACCGTCAAAAAAAAAATCATAAAAATCGCCGAAAAAAAAATTTAACACTTTATTACAAGAAAACGAGCCGGCCGATCTTTACCAAAAATTAATCAGCACGATTCCCAACCAATATCTTTCGAACGGTTTTTGAATTTTCAAAATCGATTCAGAATTGCGGGCTAAAACGTGGGTAAAAAATTTCCACTTTTCTACTAGTAAATTATATACAAAGAAACGGCTTGGCCGATCGTCGCGCAAAATTGATAAACGCTAGTCCTCATCGAGATACATCGAATGGTTTCTAAATTTTTGAAATCGGTCCAGCCGTTTTGAGAAAACGTCGATTTACGGCAAAAAATCTGTTCCCATACACACACACATACTATTTCCAAATTTGGTCTCATTCGATTCAGAATGGCTTGAAACACAGAGAAAACATAAAATTAGCGAATTGGATTTTTTATGGAAACAAAATTCTTCTTCGGGAAGTTAAAAATATAGGACATAGATGGTGTGTATCTTAAAGGCTTTAATGAATTTTTATATTGAAACCACTTATTGTATAATAATAATAGTTTAGTATGTTCATTTGGACCAAAAATTAAATAGCTGGATTCTTAACAGATATCTTTCAAAGAGATTTTGGATTTTCAAAATCGATTCAGGGAGTTTGAGAAAACCGTAGACAAAACTTTGCACTAAAATAAATGTTTTTCAAATTTTGGTCTGTTAAATGTTCGTAGTGTGAAATGATAGAATAAAAAATTATACAAAAAATTGTGACTAGTTATCATATGTTATAAATCTTGGATTCATTTATTACCGCATTGTGCTGAAACTTAGCTCATGTTTCTCTCAGTTATGCTGAATATATAGTACCAATAGAGAAATTCATAGAGATGATTTGTTTAATATTCCAGTAGCTACATTCAAATATCATTTGCAATTAATTTATATTCATACCTCGTATAGGCGTCATCCAATTCCGGCAAAGTGGCTGCCGATGCTATATCTCTCTCATTCAATTGGCATTTTAATTTCATTTCATCGGACAGGAGAATATGTCTGTGTTTCAAAATTATTGTCTTTACACTTTCTGTTAAAACATACAAGTAGAAACGACGGAAATTTTGCCAATTCAGTAGCCATTTCGTACCCCTAAAATAAAAAAATAATTATAAATATACAAATTTACTGTCATTATGCATAATGCAAATTAACATATTACTTAATGCAAATTTACATAATACAAATTTCGATAGTGCAAGTATGTAATATGTTAAATGTTTCTTCAAAATTTATATATTAACAAAAACTATAGTTTTATTTATTTTACAATATAATTAACATATTACAAAGAATATACTTAATGCTACTTGCGATAATGCAAGTATGTAATCTGTAAAATGCTTTTTACAAATATATGTAATATATTTATATAAAAAATGTACAGATTTGCTTATTTTACAATATATTGCAAATTATATATACTAGTGATTATGCAATATTTTTGCGTTAAAGCAAATTGCTGGAGCTTCCCGATTTTTAAACAAATATTATAGAAAAATAAGCAACAAATAAAAATGTTAAGCAAATTCGTAATTATCAATTCAAATTTTAAACATTTTAATATAGATATAAAATTGAAATATTGCATTCTATTTGAAAGTTTTAGAAATCGTTATTGGTCTATATTATAGTACCGTAATTAAAAATCTTAGTACGGAACCCAAAAAAATTTACACAAAATGTGTACACATTATTAAAATCTCTATAAAATATCTGATAATTTGATGTACATATGTCCAATTAACATTTTTGACCGCCAAATGACATTTTTTTAACTTATTTCTATTGAGAGTCCATAACCTCTGGACCTGTCTTCCGAAATATTTAATCAGTTTTTTATATTGTCAATACAAGTAAAATGTTTTTTGAATTATTAAAATCGGACGCTCCGTTCTCCTAAAAACTGAGTTACCGTTACACACACACGTACATCAAATTTTTCTAAAGTATGCTTAAATGTTCAGAAACCTCTAAAACGTAAAGATATATAAAAATTTCCATTTTCGATTTTTTTACGATTACTATAACTTGCCATACGGGAAGTTAATAAAAACTGTACTTGTTTATATTCATTGCTTAAAATAATATAGAAAGATTCTATAAAAATTCTACCACGTTTGTTTTTGCAAACAGAAAATCATTAGAAAAGTTCACTAGAAAAGTCTCAATAGTATAAGTATTTCATATAATATTTTATGATTAATATCAAAATCAGAATAATAAAATAAATTATTTTGCTAGAAAAGTTCACTAGAGGTAATTCACATAATGTGTTATGATTTTATTTACTTTTAATCAATAAAATAAACCAATATCAAATAATAATAATAAATCAAAAAATTAATATCAAAATCAAAATAATAAAATATTTTGCAAACAAGGAGAAAGGAATTTAAAATAATGCTATATTAGAATCTACAAATGATAATTTGAATCTTCACTAATCTTTATTGTGCATTTAATTAAATTTATATCTAAAATAAGTTCTATTAATATACTAATTTATTGAAATTCATTATTTAATGCGGTTATTAATATTATATTTAAAAACCAAGTGAATTTCAAAATAATTGACTTACTTAACTAGCTGTAAGTGGAAACTTAGATGAACTTCACGAAAAGCGTAAGACTTAATAAAGAAATAAGATTTATAAATTAAGATAAAATTTTAACTGTTTTCACTTTCACTAAAAGCTAATCATTGCAATTTCCAATTAATATCTTTCAAGAAACACTTTTATAATATCTTTAATGCTTGAAGCTCTAAAGCGTGGGTTGTATGTTCTAAATTAATTACTTAATTAATTAGTTTATCATTGAAACTTACTCAATGGCGTTGTATCCTTGGCATATTGAAATTCCTCCAATTATATTACCATTTTTAATTTTTGTCTTTTCACCAAGATATTTGGTGATGATATTGCCTCCTAAACTGTAGCCCACACAAACTATCTTAGAACGAGGAAACTGTGATTGCAGATGTCGAATCATTTCATTATAATCATCGGTATGACCTGAAAAATTAATATAAATGCAATATAATATAAACAATTTTAATTCAAGTTTTTATAAATGGTTGAAGCAAATTTCAATAATAAATATTTTTATATTTCGAAAGCCAAAGTACTCCATGAGAACAAAGTGAATGTTCGACATAGCGTGAATAAATTCGCATTAATTCCAGTGTTCCATGTCGTTGATTTTCAACAATGATCATCAACAGTTATATTAGGTAATTAATTAATGGCATCAAATTTAAATTGGCAGAACCTCGTACAAAATAATAATAAAAATGTGCTAAAATTCGACAATTTTAATATTAAACTCTATATACTATTAATTAAAGTAAAGAAAATAAATGGAATCAACACTGTAAGTTCTTCTAATCTATTCTTAAGTATACATACTGTAATTTCTTTAAATCTTTTATTTCAAATCTTCTCTCGATTTGCTTTATAAAATTGATTCAATTCAAATATTCTTTATATTATATTACATATACGTTTAAATTAATTATTAAACTAGTTGAAAATGGCATTTAGCCTTAAGGCAAGTTCCATAAACCTCCCGAAATGTGTAGTAATTGACTTAATCAAATTTGAGATTTAGATATTTAGATAAAATTTTCAACTATTTATATGGAAAATAAAGCTATCGCTATCAATTAAATCTAAACATTGCAATTTCGAATAGAATTTTCTTAAACACAATTAAATTAACTGTAATTATATTAATTATATTGCAGAGACACTATAGTGCTTGTATGCCCTAAAATTGTAGCTTATCATTTTAAATTTTTATGAATTAATAAATGTTTAACTCATCTCATCACAAAAGCAACTTTTGACACCAATTTTGACTACAATATTTACTCAGACTTTGATGAACTTTTAACATTAAACTATTTGTCGTAAAGCCGTAACATTTTAGTATGTTTTATAAGACTATGATATCTATTGCCAAAAAAGGTTCATAAAAATCGCCAAAAAAATTGGTTCAACGGTTAATTTCAAGAAAACGGCTCGGTAGATTTTTACCAAAAGCTTATCAGTATCATTCCCAACCAATATCTTTCGAACAGTTCTTGATTTTTTTAAAATCGATTCAGAATTGAGAGCTAACACGTGGACGAAAATTTTTTCACTTTTCTGCTTCGTGGCACAAAACCGAGAAAAGATAATCCACATAGAAATACATTGATTGGCTTTTAAAATTTTGAAATCGGTTCAGAGGTTTCTAAGCAAACGTCGATGAAATTTCTAATTTTGACAAACACCAAAAAAACGATACATATTTTTGCAAACTTTGACGAATTTTCAAAATTGAACGACTTGTCGTAGGGCCGTAATATTTTAGTACGATCTATAAGACTATGGTCTCTACCGTCAAATAAAAATTCATAAAAATCGTCGAAACATTTTTTACTATTCTATTCTTTCTTATAAAGCTATTTTCTTAATATAGTGTAATTATACTAATTCTTTTAAAATTGATTTAATTCATTTTCAAGTAGCCTATAAGCCATTGGAATACAATTTGTTAAGATATTAATCTGTAACAGTTGTTTTTCCAAAGACAGACAGATTATATTATGAAATAAAGTCCTTAGACGTTTTTTGTTATAAATATTATTTTTTATAATTTAGCTTTATTTACATACCATAACTGAAAATTCTAGAGCTAGTGACAGGCACTCCAGATAAGGCACCAATATGATTAAGTACGGCACATCTGTATCCGTAATATTGTGCGTAATGGACAAATGTGCGAATGTAGACCGACTCCGAAGAGTTACCTATGCCAGGGCACACTGCCAGAGTTACCTCATCTGAAAAAAAACTAGCTGTAAGTGGAATTCTGTCTTAAGGCAATTAGGGCATCGTGCCTTAAGGCAAATTGCTGGAACTTCCCGTACCAAAAATTATTTTTTTTTTTAAAAACGATTAAAATTGAAAAATTGAAAAAAATCTACTTCGAAAAAATAAGATTTTTGAGAAACTATAAATTGGACAAAACATTACTTTTTTTTGAAAAAAAAATTTGTTTAAAAAAAATTAAAAAAAAAAATTTTTTTTTAATTTTTTTTTTTAAATGTTTTCTTTATTTTGACATATTTTGGAAGATCTGAACTTGTTTCTCAGAGCAATCGTACTGCTTTAACTGCATAGAGACGAAATATAAAGCGCGTAAGCGCGGCGTCGCTGTCTAACGGGTAAACATTGATACGGAACCCATAGGAAAATAAACAAAATTTATACTTATTGTTAAAATCTCTATAAAATATCTGAAAATTTGATGTGCATATGTCTAATGATCATTTTTGACCGCCAAATGACATTTTTTTTTACTTTTTTCGTTATATCTCCGAAACCGCTAGACCTGCCTTTATGAAAATTTGATCAATTCTTCATCTTGTCAATACAAGTAAAATGTTTTTTGAATTATTAAAATCGGACGCTCCGTTCTCTTAAAAACTGAGTTACCGTTTTCGGCACTTTTTGCCCCGTATCTCCGGAACGGCTAGACCTGCCTTCGCCAAAAACTAATCAGCACGTCTCCTTATCAATACGAATCGAATGTTTTTTGAATTATTCAAATCGGTTGATCCGTGTTCCCGAAATCGTCGACGAAAATTTGTATCCGCACATACATACACACACGCACACACACACACACACACACACACACACACACACACACACATACATCCATTTTTTCTAAGGTATGCCAAAATATTCAGAAATCTCTGAAACGTAAAGATATATAAAAATTTTCATTTTCGATTTTTTTGCGATTACTATAACTTACCCTACGGGAAGTTAATAAGATAACAAATTAAACTAAGCGTAAGTGGCATTTTGCATTTAAGAAGGTTGCCTGAACTTCCCGATACGAGTAAACAATCGACTTAGTTAATAAGAACTGTGATTTAGCAACCCCTAGGGTCCATTAATCACGTGAGCGATTTTTATGGATTTTTGGACCCCCTCCAAAATTAGCAATCCACCCCGACACAACATCACGTGTATTTTTAGTACCTAGAAAAAATCGTAAAAATTTTGATTTTTTTTGAAACTTTTTTTTAAATAGTTTTTTTAATTTCATTTTGAAATGACATATTTTTTAATAATTATTCTATAATTCATTTGCTAACATAAGTCTGTAACTTAAAATCAATTACATTCGCGTTGAATGCCGCATTACTTGTAATGGAAAAATTTAACTTGAGAGAAAGGAAATAATTATTTTCTATTTAAAATGTTGTTGAACTCGACAATAACAAAAAAATAGTTTTAAAAAAAATCATGCAATGGAATATGTAATTAAACTATAAAACATCAGGGCAAGAGAAATGATGTAAATGCAAAATAATTGCGAGTAATTGCTTTGAATAGAAATTCTTGCTACACCCAAAACGTTCATCAAATGAGTTTTTAGTTCGGTGAACAAACAAAACTATAAGGATGGAAAATTATTAGGTAACTGTAGCAGAGACGGATTAGAATCTAATCAGGAAATGTGTGCAATCGATTTATAAAATTGGCGACAAGGTGTAATAATGATATAGCTAACATTTGTACTGATGCACATGAATCGTTGAGAATAATATTAAGGATCTGTGAACAATTTAAAATAAAGCAGTAACGATCCAACAAAATTATATCCTGAATCTGGATTTGCCTACAATCTGCTCCAGATAAATTTAACAAATAATCATAATAAAACAACAATGCCATAGATTATTCTCAGATTCTTAACCAGCTATCCTTTAACGTTCTTAGATTCTCTTATCTTTCGATGTAATAGAATGTCCAACAAATAGTAAAAAGATTTTTGTTGCAGAGAAAAAAGTTGCATCATAGACCGCTGACAACTAATTACTATCTGTACAGGTTAATTTTTATTATTCTTTATTTATGAATCGTTTGTATTATATTTTAGTGCCATTAATTACATACTATTTCATATTGAACAAATATTTTGGGAAATATATAATAGAAATTTAGCTATTTTTTTAGGCATAAACGGCAAACAGAATTTAATGAGTGCTATGAGTTGTTGTGCTGAATAAACGATTATGAAATTTGAATTATAAATTCCATAAGCTTTTCGGACCGCTTGATGTCAAGCAGTAGTGACATCGTTTCATAAAAATAACTATAATCGGTATTGCTGCAATAATCAATAGCAAATTCATCAGTATCAGAATATTGAATTAATATTTGTTTTTTAATTTATTCAATTAAGAGAAAAAATTATAATACATGAGCATTTTTGATTTCAATAAAATTGCATTTGCAATTCTGATATTCCAGTAATAAAATCAGAATATTTTTATATTCTATTAATGAAAATTCTTTACAACATACCGTTAAAAATTCTAAATGATTTTTTAATAGCTATGATCATTCCACATAGGTTATTATATCGCCATAGTATTACACAACTTAACTCACTTAATAAAATTTTAATTATGTCAATTACATTTTTTCATTATCAGTTTTTTAAATTCAAGTACTAGTGACAACGGTTCTTCCAAATAACTAATCGGTATTACTGCATCAGATAACAAATTCATCAGTATCAACGATACTGATGAATGTATTATTGATTGATGCAGCAATATCGTCAAAAGCTATTTGGATGAACCGATGTCACCACTGATTGACATCAAGCTGTCCGAAGAAGTTATGGAACTACTGATGCAAATACCACAGCTCCAACCAATAATACAAGAAAAAATTCAGTTTTACAAGAAACATCACCTAACCTTTTAGTACCACTATTACTACGGCTCTGTTTCAGAATACACTTTACAATTATATTTGATAGATTTATTCGGTATAATTGTTATACACTTTTGTTTTGTTGATTCAAATACTGATGAATAGCTATTTGAATGAACCAATCTAACCACTGCTTGACAACAAGCTGTCCGAAGGAGTTACGGAACTTCCAATTCAAATTCCATAGCTCCAACATTTAATCGAAGAAAAATCCTATTTTTACAAGTAACATTACCTAGCCTTCTGGTGCAGTATTACTCCGGCTCTGTTTCTGAATATACTTTCCAATTATATCTGATAGATTTGCATCGGTATAATCGTTTTTTTGTTATGTTGATTCAAATACTGATAAATTTTCTTTTGATTGATGCAGCAATATCGGTAACAGCTATCTGAAAGAACCGATGCCACTACAGCTTGATATCAAGCTACCCGAAAGGGTTTGAAACTTCTTATTCAAATCCCATAGCTCTAACCATTACTCCAAATAAAATAACATTTTTACAAGAAACATCACCTAGCCTTCTGGTGCACTATTACTACGGCTCTGTTTTTGACTACACATTCCAATTATATCTGATAGATTTAATCGGTATAATTGTTATACACTTTTGTTTTGTTGATTCAAATACTGATGAATAGCTATTTGAATGAACCGATCTAACCACTGCTTGACAACAAGCTGTCCGACGGGGTTATGGAACTTCTAATTCAAATCCCATAGCTCCATCCATTAATCCAAGCAAAATCCCATTTTTACAAGAAACATCACCTAGTCTTCTGGTGCACCATTACTACGGCTCTGTTTCTGAGTACACTTTCCAATTATATCTGATAGATTTGCATCGGTATAATTGTTATACACTTTTTCATCATTAAAACAAAAACTATAGTCGCAACACAATCGTTTGCAATATCACTTTTTAAATACAACTTCTTGACAAATCTCGGCGTTAATTTGTCGCGCGAGGTGCAATACTCGGCCGCAAAAAATCAATCAATAATCGTTCGACGTTGAATTTTCAACCTCAGAGATTTGGCAATTTGACCAGGTTCGATTGGTTTTCGACCGGGGACGTGAAAGTAAAATACAAAACGATATCAATTTTCTTGTACATTCCGTCATGTTTTGCACATTTATATATGTAGCGTTAGTTCGACATGTTTCGGTTAAAAGTCGGTCTGGTCTGACATAACTTTTTTGGTTTCGATACATATAAAAGTGACAATTTATCACAGCCGACGGTATATAAGCAACTCCTCTCGAAAAATCATTATTACTTGCGACTTGCAAACGTTTTTATGCAAATCTAATAAGGAACTCGATATAGAGTTATATAAAATAGTGAAAAATTCATAAGTGATTAGTAAGTTTAATATGAAATTATTTTTTTTTATTGCTGATATTGAAATGTTTATTTTTCCGCTTTGCATTCAAGCAAATTCACTTCAATTAAACGAAAATTATATTATCAAATGGATGATTTTAATTTCAATAAAATAGCATTTTGCTGTTCTGGTATTCCAGTAATGAAGTACAGATATCTTGATATTCCAATCATATCAATGAAAATTATAATTTTTGTTTTGTTTTTGAATATCTAAATTCCACTTAGGTTACTTATATTACAACTCAATGAATTTTAAAATTACGCAAATAAAATATAATTATTTTAATTAATATTCTCTCGAATTTTCAAATTCGAATAAATTTACTTCAAAATAATTTGCAAATTATAATTGATTCCAGTTATTGAATTAACTTGTTGTTGCTGAAATTTCATAGTAAAATTAATTGTATTTTCATGTAGTCGAATTCTATATAAATGATTAAAAGTTAATAAAATATGAGTTACTATTTTAGTGATAAGTGATCTACTAAATTAAAGTGTTTTTTCTTATTTTATTGGTGGTTGAAAAGTGCATTTTCCCTTTATAGTTTATTATTATGTTTATTTCAAATAACTAACTGTATTATAAAAAAGATCAATAAAAATAACTTAAGTTTACTACAAAATAATTTGCAAATTAATTATAAAAA